TATAGAGAAAAAATACAGAATTTTTGGGTATTTTTAAAAAAAAAATTCAGAATTTTTTCGATTTTTTTTGCAATTTTTTTAGCCAAAAAAACAAGGACCGTCTGATTTCTGGAAAAAATCCATCGGAGAGTCCCCGTCGCGCCACGTGGCACACGCCCGTTGGAGCTGTCAGGAGGTGACGTCATCGTTGGCGTCATGCTGACGCCAGTGCACGGAAGTCAAATTTTTTTTACCGTTGGCGCGTGTAATTCACGCGCCAACAGTAAAAAAAATTTGAATTACCGTGCGTTGGCGTCAGTGTGACGCCAGCGATGACGTCATCAAACTCGGGTTTCAGCCCGGGCAAGAATTGCCCTTGGGCTTCCTCGGGCTCGTGGGACCCACCACGAAACCGGGCTACGGGCTCTCTCTGGCAGCCTTTTACCCGAGTTGGGTTAGGCGCTGGAGATGCTCTTATCCTTTGGGGTGGAACTAAAAAAGGCAAGGCTGCCACTATTCACTTGAATAGTGTTAAACCTTGCCTTGCTTTTGCCTTGCCCTTGCCATTTGGGGTGGAGGTGCTCTTAAAGTGTAGTACTAGTCAATCCATATCCATGATGACCCACACAAAACTGAATAGGGACTATTTTTCAATCAAGGGAAGGAGATTCAAACTTAGGCCTTCTTTCAACTTTGAGAACATTGAAAAAATAGTGTTTGAATTAAATCCCTTCTTTTTGTGATTTAATTCATTTGTTCAATTTGAATTTTTGACTTTATTGTATGATCCATTAATTGCCACATAGGTGGTTGAAAATTTATCTATCATTTGACAAGTCTCAAGCTTTTCTCTTAGAATAATGCTACTCTTATCATATTTGTATATCACATTCTCATACCATCTTATGTCGTAAATGAGATGGACAACTATGTCAATTAAAATTAATTTAACATTTTTTTTCTTTTATGACTTATTGACACTTTTTAATTGATGTGGTTATACGCTTCATCTACCACTTAAGGTGGTATGGGAATGTGGTATACAAATATGGTAAGATTAGCATTATTCTTTCTCTTAAAAAAAGAATCTAAGAAATATCAAAATATATTTAAGGACATCTCCAACCTAGCATGTCAAACCTAAAATTCTAAATTTGAGCTCAATTCCTCTCCCAACCCAAGAAAAGTAAAGAGTTGAAATTTGGGAAAACTCAAAATCGAGGAGGAATACCAGTCTAGCTATTGCCTTGACTGGAATTTTTTTTTTGGTGGAGCCCATTGAGCCATGACGCAGCCCATGTGTAAGGAGGAAACAATGGGGCATGTCGCGGCAGTGCTGCAGAAGCTGTCACGCTACGTGTCTGAAGCTGGTGATATTGTTGTTGGGATCCAACGACACAATTCAAACATCTCCTTTATTTATTTATTTCAACAGTAACCCAAATCAACGATACATATTAAATCTAACTGTCAAAATAATATTTTTAATTAATATAAATCATATCCAACCCCAAAAACTCACTCCGAACTCTATAAATACCCACCCATTTCTCAAATATTCTACCAAAAATATTTGTTATATTTCTCAATTTATTTTTCCTTTCTCAATTTCATCTATCTCCTTTCATTCTTGTTGAAGATGTCCACAAAATCTATTTTGAAAGAGTACCATTGGTTTTCAAACACATCATCTTCTTCATTCTCATACTTTTCATCTCATTTCAAGCTTTCAATGGATAACCATGGCAAGGCCATCTTTTTCCTTATGTTTGATGATGATTTCAATGATGAGGAACATCATCACAGAGTGATACAAGCTATTGTCCACCATATTTCACTAGAGAATGAAGCCGATCACCTCCCTAAACATGGTAGGTCAGTAGTCAGTCATGAGTATAAGAACCGTGAGAGGGAAGATCACCATTCCAGTCTAATGTCCGACTACTTCATTGAAAGGCCACATTTTAATACTACGGACTTTCGTAGGCAATTCTGAATGCCAAAAGAGTTGTTTTATTGCATCTTGAATGATGTTGTCAACCACTAGCCATACTTTCACTAGAAAAAGACGGGCTCAGCAGACAAGAGCTATCCCCTGAACAGAAGTTAACCGCTCTCTTTTGTATGCTTGCATGAGGATGCTTGGCTGACGCGACCGATGAGTACTGGAAATTGGGTGAAAGCACAGCTCTTGAATCACTCCATAAGTTTTGTTTTGTTGCCATGTATGGTACCTCATGTCTCCAAATCTAGCTAACCTTTATAGACTCTTGCACAAGGCGAGCCGTCGAGGCTTCCTAGGCATGTTAGGAAGTCTTGCCTACATGCACTGGGAATGGAAGAATTGCGCATGATGCTTGGGCATGCTAGTTTACCAGTCACAAAAAAATGCCCTATGTTGTGCTAGAGGTTGTGGCCTTGTATGAAACATGGATACAACATGCCTTTTTCGAAGCTGCTGAATCCAACAATGATATCAACATTTTAGCTCGTTCCTCATTGTTCAACAATATGGTGCATGGAATGCTTTACAGGTTGAATATATTGTCAATAGAAATCAATACCATTAAGGCTACTATTTGGCATATGGGATCTACTATCGTTGGGCTACTTTGGTGAAGACTATTTCTTCTCCTGATAACCCAAATAAGAGACTTTTTGTACAAATGCAAGAAGCATACATGAAGGATGTTGAAAGAGCATTTGGAATACTACAGGCTCAATGGGCTATTGTTTGAGGCCCTGCACGTATGTGGTGCAAGGATAACCTCCACTCAATCATGACAATGTGTATAATTTTGCACAACATGATTGTGAATGATAAGTACAAATATATTGAAGAGGAATCTGATGATGGGGATACGTGTACCCAACGATCCAGGAGGGTCAAGGCAAGATAATATGAGCTGGAGGCAAGCATTACATATGAGTACGACCAAGATAGATACTCTTTCTTATTACAAGATTCATCATAATAGAGTTCGATCTTCATATGTGCACCTAAGTTTCCGACATGATTTGATCAATCACCTTTGGAGAAGGTTTGGAGATAGTGAATGAGGTCG